GCACCACTTCCCTTGGAAGTTGGTTCCAGCTCCTAGCCGCCCTAACCGTGAAGTAGTTTTTGCGGATGTCCAATCTATACCTCCTCTCCATCAGCTTGTGCCCATTACTCCTTGTTATGCCAGCGGGCGCTAGGGGAAACAGCGTCTCCCCCAAACCCTTAAATTGCCCACTACTACCACTCCTCTAAGGGAAGGAACCTCAGTGCAAGAGAGCACTGTAACATCAGCTGGAAGGTGGGTGCCATCTAAGGGACAGTTTCCCTCCTTCCCCACTTGATGCTCTCATCCTCTTCAGCAGCATGGGAGCTGTTACAGCAGAGGTGGGACTGTTCTACAATGTCCCTGAAAGCCTGTGAACTTCTCTGCCTCCCGTAGCTGCTTCAGTTTTGCCACCCTAACCATGAGATACTGTACTTGCTCTCCTAGAACCAGGAGTTCCTTGAACCAAGTGCACCCATGACACCTGCCCTTGGGCAGATGCATGCTGCACTTGGTGCAATAAAGTGGGTAGCCCCCATGCTGCTGCTGGACTTTTATCTGCATGTATTTTTTTTTAAGTGTTAAAACTTAGTTTCTGTTTTTAAGAAGGCTTTGATTTATGGGTTCCCTTAGACTAAAAACTTTCAACTTACAGATTGACCTTCTGTTTAGCGTTACTCTGCCCTAATTACAGCTAATTATTAAACAAGGGACTTAAGTATTGATTTAACTGCTGAGTTTTAGCTATATCTGCAAAATATCTAGGTTAGTTAGCCTTAATTAAAGAAAGAACTTACCTTAAAAACTCCCCTTCAAATAGGGGCATGGCAATCTGACCTGCAAACTACTTGCATACTACCCTGTTTTGCCCTCCCTGTTCACTCACTCCCTGGCTTTTCTGGGCCTGGACTGGTTCAACTCCCTTGTTAAGGTTTTTGTCAGACACAGGCAGCAATCACTCAACTAACAGCACTCACCAACTGCTCGGAGCACAAGGCCCAAGGTAACAGCCAAACAAAGAAAGGCTCACCAAATTATATTATGTTATTTATTTAATTACTTTCAGTAATATTTATGTGTTTAATTTAAATCATTGTTGAATAAAATATATCCTTTGAACAAGTACAATCACCTTTAGTTTACAGATCTAGTTATGTGGCCAACAATTTTCAGCAGACCTAAATTAGTTAGTTCTGTTCTCTCGCGTTTATGTTCAGTGAGTCATTTTTCTGTGCCCCATCCCCTCTTCCCCACCCCCACCCAGTGAAATAAAGAAAACTCAAGAGTGGGTGATGTAAAGGAAAAATAACCTTGTTAGATGCATCACTGTTCTAGAAATGTGCTTGTGTTTCTTAGAGTTTGGAAATAGATCGGAGGTGCTTCTTCTGAATATTGCTAAGGCTTCACTAGGAAGCTGCTGCTTTTGATAATGCAGTCATGTAAATATTCTCTGGAAACACCTAAATTATCTTCTCTCTTGACCTAGGTGGCTCATTGGTGAGTTGGGTGTAAGAGCTAGTTGCACTGCATGTGTAGGAAATCAATTAGTGTAAATAATATATTTGGATCAACTATCATGCAACAATACACAGCAGTTTTTTGGGGTGGCCTTCAGAACAACTAAACAGAGAGGGAGATTATTTTGTTTAGAGGGAGATTTTTTTTCAGCTCTCAGATAGAGGAAGTTGGGCACCAAATCCTCAAAGTTGGGTGCCAAACTTCACTTGGCTGTATAACTTGTAAGCTTCTTTTAAGGGTGGTGGTGGGGATTAGTCTGGACAAGTGTGTATAGGTTTCTTTGTTTTAAATATTGGGCTTTTTGGATAATGAAATTCCACTGTGATAATGGGACATGATTTTGCAGCCAGACATCCTTTCAATATTAATGGAAAGTTTGGATCTGCCTCAACTTTGTAGCTTGGGTACATCCTGCATTTTAATTTGTTTTACTTGGGTCTATGATTCAGTCGTCTTCTTTTTTTTTTTTAACTGGGGTATGTGTCCCCCAGGAGTATGCAATCCTTTGTCAAGAGAGATGTGCCTTTATTTAAACAATGGTGGTGGAGGTTCCAATCAGTCAGTGGGTGGTGAGTAATAATGTTGCCTCATGTCAACATCCATGAACATAGACATGCAGTGGGTATATGGGCTACAAGCAGAAATATTTTGCAGGTGAAAGGGTATGCTAACAATATAAATTGAAAACCACTGTTCTAGATTAAGTCTAACATTCTTGAGCAGGGGTGATGCCTCCACTGAATATTGTGTCCAGTTGTGGGTATCAAACTTGAAGAATGATATGGACAAATTGGAATGAGTTCAGAGGAGAGTACCAGAAGAAAACCTGACATACAAGGAAAGGTTGAAACATGCATGACTTGTTCAATGTAAAGAAGGGTAGATTTGATATTTCCTCAAATAAAGAAGGGTTATTATAAGAAGGCGATGATCAGTTGTTCTCTGCCTCTGTACAGCAGACAGGATGAGAAGTGACATACCTTGATTTCAGCAAGGGACAGGGAGCTTGGGTAACAGTCACTTTCTAACTATGAAGGCAATAAAGCACTGAAACAAATTAGCTGGCAAGAGGTCACTGGCAGAGGTCACTCGGTCACTGGCAGCTTTTTCAGTGTACGTTCAACAAATGTTTAGCTGGATGGTTTAGGCAGGTGATCCCTTCCTGTCCTTTGAATCTATACAATGAGCTTGACTTATTCTCTTAGAACTGGCAGTAATTTTTCTGAGGAAAACACCACAAAATGTATGGATTGCTCAAAGCAGTAACCTGGATGGCACAGAAGATCAAAATCAAGCTCTTTACCCCAGGCCTATGAAATTTTTGCATATCAAATCATGTCCTATCCTAAAACTTTCACAGCATTGTGTGTATATTCAATTTATTTTGGTTGTAAATGTGCTTGGCCTGATACCTTAGCAGCAATTTACTAACACTTGCTGACTAGCTTAGGTTAAGGAAATGTGTTTTAATCTTCAGCGTATAAAATGAAACTTGCTAAATTACATTGTTTGTTCCCTTGTTGTGGTTTGAATCGCACTGATATTTTTTACTTCATCCAAGGGACCTATCATACAGTTTGGACGTGATTAAAGTTGAAGTCAGACAAATTCAGACTAGAAATAAGGTACTCTTTACTACTGCAGGTAATTAATCATTCAACAACTTTTAAAGGCTGCAGTAGATTCTTCTCCCTGGAAATTATCAAGGGTGCAGACAGAAGTGACAATTTCTGCCAGATCTGGCCACAGAAAGCAACATATATCCATGACCAAACACAAGTGCACAGTGGCAGACATCATAACAAATGGCCAGTCTGGTGAAAATCTGACACCTCCATTGCATAAGGTATCAGATAAAAATGTTTCAAAATGTAGCATCTACTGTAACTGGTGTCTTCAGAGCTCTCAACATGTCACTGTTTTCAGAATGGGAGGGGGGGAAGGGCGTGGAGAGAGTTCAGTCTGGGTTTTTTGTATTTTTGTTTCTTTTTAGCCACCCGGAGGGTGGGGCAGGTGTATTGGAACCCCTTGGATCTAATTCACCTACACCACCATTCAGCACCAGATGGGGAGTCCCAAAAATGAGCTACCCCACTACCTTACTCTCCTTCCCCTACCACCCATTCTGAAAAACAGGGAGCACTGGCAGAGAGCCTTGGCTATTGCAATGAAAACCTGGCTACTGGCTCCCAACTGGTAGCTAGATTCCCCTTCCCCCTCTGCCCCCCCCCCCAACCAACAGTGAACTTCTGTTTGCTCTGGGGTAACAAAAATCATTCTGAGTTACAGCCGGGAGCTGCACTTCTGTCTACACCTCATATAAAGATAGCATATATTCTAGAGGGGAAAAATTTAATTAGTCCACAGTTGTCAGACGTGAGGTAGAAATTTAAATTCATGGAAGTCTTCTATCTGTTGCAAAAGTCAGACCAGATTAGCAGAAATGGTTCCTTCTAGCCTTAAACTTTGTAAAAGTATTAAATTGGTAAATGTATTGAATTTACTATTTCTCTATCTAATTCTTTCTCCTCTAATTTTGGTTTGGTATAAAATAAATATTTTTCTTTCCTTTTTACCAACAGGTGCATCTGGTTACAACAGCTTTTATGTTTTCTGCAAAAGTTTCTGTCAAGCTGTGAAACCTGGAAAGCTCAGGGTGCACTGCAGTATGTGTAAACAAGGGACACTGACTCTATCAAGAGTAAGTAAGAGTTTTTCAAACTTTTAAAATAGGTAAAAACTAGATATAGTTAGATACAGTTGAGGAGTTTTAATTGTAATTGAAAGCTTGGAATATTAAATTGAATGTTAGTATTTACTTCACCCTCCATTTGTGTCCCTATTTGGTTTCTTTCTTTGTTTTTTGTTTTGTTTTAGGAGTTCATTATGGGAAACCATTTCAAACTTGAGCTCCGATTCTGCAAAACTTTAAGCAGAGGCTTACCTCTTATGCCATGTGAGGAGTCCAGCTAAGAAAATGACACTTCATAGTTGCTAAATTTTAAATTTAAATTTAAGTCTTTTTTTAGGATCAGAGTTATGGCTGCTTGTGTCAGAGTATGTTACATCTAGGTCCCATGAAGCCTTATACACCAAAGGCTGATATTAGAGAAGGATGGTGGACCAGATTGTTTTCCTGATTTAATAATTCATGTTCCTGAATTACAGAGAAGGATTTAAATGGTGCTGGTCTTATTAATCTCACAGGCAGTTACCATATTTAACAGGCAAAAACAAGAAAGGGTTATTTTTGGCAGGTGTAGAATGAGAAGGTAATTCATTCTGTTGGGATCAATTTGCCTCCTGAAAAGGAAGGTTGTTTGTATAATTACATCTGCAAAAAGAGTTTTTGAAGGTAGTTTTTGCTTTTTTTTTTTTTGTCTTGAGTCACTTTGTTCATACTGCTGCTAGGGTGACCACCTTTTCAAAATTGAAAGGTGGGACACATGCCCACCCCTCTCAGCACAGCAGCACAGCCAGAGTAGAGCTGAGTGGAGCCCATGGGTGGGGCGGGGGAGGATGTGGGCATCCACTATGGGTTTGGGGCTCCCCACCCTGCTGCTCTTCTGCCAGGAGCTCTGCACCAGCCACACCACCATGGTGAGGTCCCCCCTACCCGACCAGCAGCAGTGGGGGACACAACCCCACACCACCCCTGCTTCTGCCAGGCAGGCAGGGAGCAACTTGCCATGGCAGTGGGGCTGGTGCAGAGCTCCCAGGGCAGGGAGCTCTGAACCCACAGTGGATAGCCGGCATCCCCCCCCGCTCCACCCCACACACAAATCTGAGGGGGGGGGCACATGCCCTCCCATTTCCCCCCTGGGAGTGCACCAGTGTCAGGTTGCTGCCCCTACCTCACCACCTCCTCAAATGAGCTGCCCATGGCTCCATTCCCTTCTCCACTCCAAGCTCCATCTATTGCCCCAGCCCCACTCCCTCCCTCACAGTGTGGGGGCCTTAGTCTGTCTCCCTTATGTTTCTTCCCCCCCCCCCAGCTTGCCTGACGGGAGCTGTTTTCCATCACTGTCTGGCTGTATTCCCAGCCATGTGCACATGCACATGGTACCACCCCATGTCCCACTACCCTCAGCCCTAAGCAGCCTCTTGCAAACTGGAACTCTGAAAGTTTGCAAGGGGGAACCTGCCATTTCCTGTATTTTTCTGCCATGAGTGCAAAACCCAGATCCCCAGGACAAATGCTCTGGAGTCATTTGGCCTGTGACTGGGACTCGATGTTCACGTTTCAGGACTGTCCCACCCAATTAGGGGTCGGTGGTCATCCTAACTGATGGTGAGTGAGAGCTCTTCCTATGATGGGGCCTGGAGCCAGTCACCTGAGGCTGTTGAATGATTTGTTTATTTTGACTTCTCAGAAGAACTGAGCACCCTCAGTCATACAGGTTTCAAGGAGACCTATGTGGTGATTACCATCTGTTGAAAACAGAAGCTTCATTTTTCAAGTGTCTAGATTTGGCTTTCAGGTTTGGTTCTTGCAAGACTGCTAAGCTGTACTTTTTATGTTCTTGTACAGTGCCATGATGCTTTTGTGTGCGTCTGTCTAGCTCTGTAGAAAGATAGTTTAAATCCCTAAATCTGTGTTCTCACTGAAATAATAATAATAAGCATACAGTGCAACATGTAGACAAATTCCCATCAAATACTTACACGTGTGTGCTTACATGCACACACTTTTTCCTGAATTACTTGAATCTCAAACTTTTACAGAGGCTTTGAAGAAGTATAATTTATAGCATTTCAGTCAAACACTTAAATGCATCTGAACTTATTTTTAGTGATATGTCATTCTGAATTGAAGACTCTCACAGAATATGGGGAGGGGAAGTACTTTCTTCCTTCTGGACTTGAAGAAATTAATTACTAGTTACAGTCATCTTACTATTTCTAACAAGAGAAAGGAGGGTCATAAATTAGTGGTTGCAGGATGAACCCAAGTCTCCTGAGCAATCAGTTGTGTGCTAATAGCAACTCCTGCTGTAGTTTTGCATAAGACATTTTAGTGAGCTTTTCAAAAGCTTTCTCTGAATTTGATTATCCCAGATTTGGATGTCCTACTCTTAAGCACCTGGTTCAACGTTTTTTAGATTTGTATATCTGAAGCTAGGGACCTTATTTGGGAATCTGAATAAGCTGCCTGATTTTTAGAGGTACTGAGTGTTTCTAGTGTTTGTGGACTTAATTTGAAATTCAGTAGTCAGCAGTTCTGAAAATCAGATTTTCTTGGTCTTAACTTTTCTACTTTAGTTTCATTTGGCTATAAAATGAAGACAACTTTCTTGCTTTTGTCAGAGCTGCTTAAAGAGTGTTGACCATAAATAGGACTACATATTTGCTCTTTAACCAAAGCAACCAGAAAAGAACTATGGGGATTCATGGTGAGGCCTACACTTTTTATTTTATTGTATTTTAAGACTCTTTCCAGAGCTGAAGTGCCATCACTAGATTAGATAGCAATGAGCTTCAAAGGTCCAAGAATATGGATCCAACTACATAAAATATTTAAATAGTCCTTCTTTTTCGTAAGTCAAACTTTTAATGCTTAATGAAGTCGTCATTACCTCATGATTTAAAACATCATTACCTCATTCGCATTTGAAAATTAAATGATTTTAATTCATATTCACAGTCACTTTGGTTCGTATTTAAACAAATATTGTGAATACTACTGGAAAAATATTATTTTAGTAGAGGAAATTGGATTATAAAAGAAGTGGCAGGTCCCCGATTTCATTGACGACACTACATAATTTAGGTTCTTGTGCAAACTTGCTGACTTCATGGAATATGTTTTAATTCTGCTGCCTCAAATTTAAGCAAGGAAGTATTGAATGTATGGATCCAAATAGATCTTAATGTTAGCCTTCTCTCATGCTCATTATTCATAGGACTTCTTTCTGCAGGTTTATCTATTTTTTTTTTTTTTTTCATTTAGTTCCTTAGGTCACCAGATATTCAGTCTCCTATTTTGGTGATTTAGAGTTAATGAGTGCCATGTAATGTGCTAAGATGAATCAGCAAACCAGCTTTGCACCTCCAGAAATGGTCTTAGGATCTTAGTCTGCTATCTCACTATTGCATCTTCTGTCCTTGTCTCTTTCCTTTTTGTCTTTGAAATGTCTTCCCTCTCTTTTTCCAGTTGTCCTGAAAGCAATGTGTCTTTGCCTGTAAGCAGGCTAGGCCATTGCATCCCTCTCCCTCCAAATGGTTGAGATTTTTTTTTATTTATTTTTTTAGACTTTTTTAATTTGTATGATTAGGTGTGGGGAAAAAATGTTGACTGTTGTAGGAAATCCTTAAAACTCTAATGAAGAAACCCCACTACAAAAAGTGCCAATGGGATATATCTCTAGACGTGCCTTAAATATGTGTCTGTTTTTAATCTATGCAGGCTATGTGTTTTTTGGCAGAATATGAGGTAAATAACATAAGGAATATATGCAAGCTGTTAATTTTTATTAAATGAGCAGAGTGCAGCTGCTTGTTTTTCTATTAGCATATTTTAAATTAGAGATGTACAGAAGCTTACTGGAAACTTGTAGCAGCAGCATCTGCCAAAACTAAGATTTTTTTTTTTTAAGCTCGCAAGTTTCAAAGGGTTCATATTTTCCTGCAGTATGACATTCCAAATGAGGGGGAGAGAAGGAGTGTTATTTCCTTCTTAAAGAATGTGAAATGGTTTATTTTGTCTACTGGATCTATTTTAGGCTTTCATATGGTACTTATGCCCATAACTATAATATACATCTAATGTTATTACCACCAGAACAGAGAGACTATATAACAACTCCTGCACTTACTTCCCTGGTTGCATTTCTGTGGAGTAATGTAGCTGGAAGCAAGAAATCTAGTATGTTCCAGGAGTTTGGATATGCCTAACAGACAAAAGTGATATACTTGCCATAATTTCAAACATAATGTTATGAATATTTTGGACAGCAGCCAGTTTAGTTTTTTATAAATACAGTACACTCCAACATATTTTGGTTCTATGCTTAAAGGGCAGGTACAAGTTTAAATAAATGTTGAACCCTAACTTTATCCCCCCCCCTTTCCCTTTTGTTGGCTGTTCTGACTTCTGTGCATCTTCCTATAATGGGGGGGGGGGGTTGTAGCAGCCAGTTTGGCACAAGGACAATGCAGAACGGGGTTTTATA